TTTATATAAATTTTATATAAATTTTAATTCTACTTTCTTAGGACAGACTTTTTTGATGAACCTACCTATTCTTTTTTAAATTTTATTCCATCTTATTTTTTTAAATATTTATTTACTCTGTGTGTACATGCTTGCACATGCACACATGTGCCATGGCACATATGTAGAGATCAGTAGACAACCTGCAGGAGATGGTTTTCTTCTTCTTCCATGTGGGTTCTGGGAATCAAACTCAGGTCATCAGGCTTGGTAGTGAGAGCCTTTACCTGCTGAGCCATCTTGTTGGCCCTAATATCTATTTTAATGCATAAATTAATATACCAAATTTTTTGCAGTGCTGAGGATTAAACCAGTCTGACACATACTAAGTAAGTGCTTATTACTGAGTTACACTCCCAGCACTAAAAATATTTTTTATTTATTTATGTGTGTGCATTGGGAGGGGGCATTGTAAGTGGTTTCATGCCATGGTGCCTATATAGAGATCAGAGGGCAACTTGAGGGAGTCAATTCTCTGCTTATAGCATGAGGGTCCTGGGGAACAAACTTGGGTTATCAGGCTTGGTAGGAGGTACATTTATCCACTGAGCCATCTCACTGACCACAAATATTTTTTAAGAAAAAATGCTGTATGCATTAATTTGTTTATAACAGATCTTTTAATTGAAAAGTAACAGTGCTTGAAATTATTAAACATATTGCAACAGATGCACAGTTCTATATTGTATATGTGTACCACCGTTTAACAATTTCTTACTTTCAGAGAATTAGGTTATTTCCATTTTTTTTTTTTTTTTTGCTATTACGAGCAATGTGATAACCAAATATCCTTTTATGACCAAGGTAATGGAAAAAACATGGAGGACTTGCCAAAAATCTGTGGAAATCTATCACTACTGTTTCAAAAGAAAAAGAAATAGGAGGTTGATGTAAAAGAGAAAGGCTTAAAAAAGATTACAGGCAATGAATGTATGATTCTGCAAATCTGTATCACTAATAGATGAATAATTGTTTTGAACAGTGACAACCGAATTACTGTGTATAACATCTTAGTAAGAATGAACTAGAAAGTAGTTAAGAGTACCCCTACTGCTTTTGCAAGGGACTCAAGTTTGATTCCAAGCACCCACATCTGGTGGCCCACAACCACCTGTAACTGTAGCTCTAGGGGAGCCAATGACTTCTGGCCTCTGGGAGCAACTGCACTACATGTACATACTCCCACACAAAGACACACATACACATAATTAAAAATAAATCTTTTTTTAAATTTATCTTTTATTTTCATTGTATGTGTATGAGTATCTTTGTCTGCATGTATGTTGTACCCATGTTGTACAATGCCCATGGAGTTCAGAAGAGTGCACTGGATTCCCCTGGAACTGGAGTTACAGACAGTTGTTAGCTGCCATGTGGGTGCTGGGAATCAAATCCAGGTCCTCTTCAAAACTACTAAGTGCTCTTAATCACTGAGCTATCTCTCCATCCCATAAAAATAAATCTTAAAAAAAATTAGGGCTTCAGAAGTAATAAACACTGAATTTGTGTGCATCTGTTTCTGTATGTAGGTGCACTTGTATGAGCATGTGTAAAGGCTAGAGGTTGATGTCAGGTGCCTTCGTGTATGGCTGTCAATCTTATTTTTTGAGACAGAGTCACACACTGAGCTTAGAGCTTTCAGTTTCAGGTAGAGAGGCTGGCCACCAAGGCCCCTGGATCTGCCCATATCCACTCCATACACATGGTGCTAAAGTTAAAGACGTAAGGCAGTACTCTTAGCTTTTACATGGATGCTGGGAATATGAGTTCAGGTCCTCATTCTTGCAATAGGAAGCCCTTTATCCTTTGGGTAGTCTCTCCAGTCACAAAACTGAATTTTTAAAAAATTAAATAATAAGCATGTTTTTATTTCTCCCATAACTTTTAAAGGGGGAACAGCCTGTGATTTAGTCATTCTTTACTTCCAAGTAACTTCTTCATTGGGCTTTAGTTCCCTTTTAAACAGCATGCTCTTATTCCGGAAGGCAGTTAGCTTTTCATCATTCCTTCTGTCTAGATAACAGCCAGTGACAAATCCCATAGGGACAAGTATATGAACTTAGTGGTCACGCACAAGCTGAAGTAAGTTCATCATGACTGCGGCCCAGGTGCCGAGCCAACCCCACAACCAAGAGCAGCGGGAGGGAAAAGCTGAATTTTTAAAAACTAAAATAGCACAATCATTCCTCTGAACGAGTTTCATATTGGCTGACTCAATCGAAAATAAAAAATCTTAAGATGGTTGCAAGTATACAGTAGGTTGGACACACGCAAATACCATGCCATTTTATTTGAAAAAAATTAATTATCTATAGATTTTGGTATATGTTAGGGTCCTGGAATCAATCTCCCACGGATACTAGTGATGATTTTAAAACACTTTTTATTACATACATGTGTGCCATGGACCATGTATGGAGTTCAGAGGATAACATGTAGGAATCATTTCTATCCTTCTACCATGCGGATCTCAGGGATCAAATTCTGGTGGTTCAGATGTACAAGCAGGAGGACCTAAGTTCATATCCCAATAGTACCCAAGTTTGTATCCCAGTACCCATATAAAAAGCCAGGCATGGGAGAGGTCATAGAACCTAAAAGAAAACCCACTTCTGTTCTTTAGCTAGACCAAGATAATTTCCTATTGTAGTTTAAATATGTACCCTTATATTTACAGACACGTATTCCTCTCACTATTCATCAAAGAAGCTTCTTTCTGCAACAGATGGAGACTATTACAAAGTTCTACAACTAGTCAAATACAGAAAATAAGTGACTTTAGGTACCCAGCCCTGAGTGATACATCTAAAATGCAACCTTAGGCTCAAGGAACATCAAGGAAGAGGAAGTGGAAAGAATATCAAGAGCCAGAGGGACAAGATACTTGCTGCTATCTAGTACATTCTAAACATGATAGGGAAACTGCATCCATGAAATCTCTATAGTATGGTAGTCTAACAAGCTCTGCATAATAAGAAAACCAGTTGACATGTCAATGTGGAAGGGGGAACATCATGGGGTCCTACCTCAAGATGAAGAGCTATAGGCAACCAGTGGATGATGAGGGAGGGAGAATCAGTTTCCTCCAGGTACTGTCTCCCTAAGAGGTTATCTAACCCTAAATGGACAGCCCTAAACATTGGTATATATATACACAAGCACCACTAAATGGACTCACTACTATCTATGTATATATGCATACATAATCATAATCATCAAAAAAGAGAACAAGAAATTGAGAGAGAGTAGGGGGACATGGGAGGAGTTGGTGGGGGACTGGGAGGGATGGAAGTAATGCAAAGCCAATACTGATGCATGAAATTCCAAAAAATAAAGACATTAAAAAGACAGGCATGGCAGCATGCACCTGTAATCCAAGTGCTGTGGGAGGTGGAGAATGGAGGATTGCTAGGGATTGCTGGCTGCCAGCCTAGATACAGGTTTAGTGAGAGACCCTACCACAAAGGAATAAAATGAACAGCAATAGAGCAGGACATCTGACATCAATACTCCTCTAGCCTCTGGTCACACAAAGACTTGTGCACTCATAAACACACACATACTTGACACCTACACATAAAACATACCTATACATATACAAAACAAAAACAAACAAAAAACCCAAATGATGGTTAGGATGCAGACAAAAGGGAACCCTTATGAACTGCTAGTGGGAACATACACTAGTTCAGCCACTACTGGAATCAGTAGAGATTTCTCAAAACCTGAAAGTAGATCTATCATTTGATTCAGCGAGGTATTTACACAGACGCCAAGTCAACTTGCATACCAATGTTTATTTCAGCACGATCCACAATAGCTAAGTTATGGAACCAACCTGAATATTCAGCAAAAGAAATGGGTGAAGATGAGATTGTTTTCAGTCATGAAGAATGTATATCATTTTCACAAAAAAATGGATGCAACTGTACACAATCATATTAAGAAAATTAAGACAGAGACTCCTGAAGATAAACACTGTATGTGTTCTATCATTTGTGGTTCCTAGATTTTATGCATATACATAATCATGTATACTTATATGACATGAAGGAAGAGTAAAATGTCTAGGAAAACACAGAGGAAAAAGAGAGAGTTGGACATGGGGAGATATGCTCAAGGTATAATACATACAAGCGTGAAAACTTCCTTTTGTACAATGTACAATGAATACACACAGTGAAAAAGTTTTTAAAAATTTAAGTAATTGACATTTGAAAAAGATAGTATCTGGCTTGTTTTGATAAAAATCAGTACACATTCAAACAAGGGCTATTGCAGAAGATTTAAAAAACACTTACTTTTCCCGCATAGCTTTGGCATTTTTATCATTAACTACCCCAATTGGTTTAGAAAGATCTCGAAATACAGTGGGGTTATTAAGGTCCAACTCTTCTGAAGTATAATCTTGTAAAATCCAGGGAAACTAAAAGAGAGATAATTCACAATTTAGATATTCCTTCCTGGAGAAGCTAAAGATAGAAATGGATAATCACTAAAAAATTTCCCTGTTGTAAATACTTTAAGCAAGTATTTTAGGGCTGGAGAGATGGCTCAGGGGTTAAGAACACTGGCTACTCTTGGAGAAGACCCAGGTTTAGTTCCCAGCACTTACATAGTCTATAACTCTAGTTCCATGGGATCTAATGCCCTTGTCTGACCTCTGTGGGTACTGTATGACACAGGTGCCCTTACATGAATGCAGGCAAAACACTCATACACATAAAATAAAAATAAAAAATTTAAAAACCAAGTATTTTAAACATTTATCTCCAGGTCAATAGTGTTAGTTCTTATAATTCTACTGGGACACTTTTAATGAAATAAAACATGCTTTACTTTTAATTGTTATTCTTCATGCTTACTTCTCTAAAAATACCAAGGTAGAAAACATAAAGGCAAATGTGTGTATGTGTATTTTTGTAGTGCTGAAGCTTGAAACCAGTGCCACACATATGCTACATGAACACACATAAGCCTCTCTACTTTTTTCTAAATAAAAATGAATATTACACATATATCTTTGCATATTATAATGCTGTAAGTTAATTTTATTTTTGAGATTTATTTATTTATTTATTTATTTATTTATTTATTTAGCATAAGGTACCCTTTATTAGAATTTTAATGACAGCAGCATGAGAGGAAGGCTCCTCCCCTGAAAGATGCCATCCTCTCTGCTCTCAGAGCTCAATACAGGAATGAGGCTCCACCCTGTATATCTCCCGGAGGGCAGGGTAGAAAGGGAAAGAAAGGGGCAAGAGGGCTAGAAAGGGCCATACTGTGGCCACAGAGGGTCCAAATATAAGTATTTCCAGTGTACACACAAGGTTGGGAGAGGGGCTCCCTCAGCCTTGGGACCAGAGAGAGGGGAGCACAGACAGCAATGTCATGCCAGGAGCAGGGTCTGGGCTAACCATGCCATCTGAGCTGGGGGTTTGCACTACTCCTTGGCATGGCCAATGATGGTGAGACTATACAGGAAAAACTTACCACAGGATACTGTGCAAGGTCATTATAGGTTCGTCCTGCCATTGTATTTATTTGAATGAGGTAGTCAAAGTTTGTTATCTCTCGGTTCACCCATTTCTACACAGCAAAAAAAGAACAATATGAGAATAGTCTATATCCCTTGGACTATGATAACCATTACTAACAGAGCCAAATTTAAAAAAAATCATTACCTCTATCATCTTCTTAATTAAAGAGGTGAAGCTAAAAAGAAAGTTTAACATGGAGATAAATCTACTTTTTCACAATTTATTTCCTTCAAAAATTAGTCTCTAAGGAAAGAGCAGAAAACTGAACTTAAGCAATTTACTACAGTCTGAAAAATACTAAGAATTGAACCTTGCCTGTTCTAGTAATGCACAACTGTAATTCTAACTGCTGTGGAGGTGAAAGCAGAAGAATGGCAAGTATAAAAGTACCCTGATAGATTTGGCAACCCATTAAAAAAAAAAGTCTTGGGATATAAATTACTGGTAAAGCACTTGCCTGCCATGTGCAATATTCTGGGTTTAATCCTCCTGTACCACAAAAGGAGGATTAAGACTTTTTCACTTAAATATGTGATGTAAGAATCTTAAAATTTTAATTTCTAAAACGATTGTCTCACTTTCAAATTTTTCATAATTATATAGACTAAAAAGCAGTATCTTGATATGGTAAAACAATGTTCTATGAGCTAAGGTTACTGAGTGTTACATTAACTACCTAAAGAAAAGCTACCTTTGCAGAATACAACATGGGATTAGAAAGAGAAAATTACTACTTTCTATTTCTCTTATTATGATATTTAGCCTTCTGTGCCCTATAGCTTCAGCTGTCAACTTGACACACGTGGGAAGAGAAAACCTCAATTGGGGAATTTGCTGTATTGAACTGGCCTGTTGGCATGTCTACAAGTCATTTTCTTGAATATTGAGTAACATGGGAGGGACCAGCCCACTGTTGGTGGTGCCACCCCAGGGCAGGTAGTCCTGGGTTGTCTAAGAAAGTGGGTTGAGGCTCCTAAGAATGCCCAGTCCTAGCTGAGGAAATTTGGTAACCAATGGCTTCTGAAAGAAAGAAAATCAGTTTTCTTTAAGGGTATGACACTGGATACGTTAACCCATTAACCAGGTTCCAGTGAATGGGCTCACACTGAAGTGCGTTTGGGGACAAAATGGAACTTGGTAAGCATGCACACGCAAGCCTGTGTGCATGCGTGTGTGCGTGTGTGCATGCGTGTGTGTGTGTGTGTGTGTATGTTAGAGTACATGAAATTGGGATGGGGTATTAAGGAGGGAGGAGTCTTAAGTGATTAAGATATATTTTATGAAATCAGCAGAAATTCAATTAAAAAGTGAAAAAACAACAACAAAAAGAAAGCAGGTTGGGCACAGGCCAGAGGAGCAAGTCACTAAGCAGTGCTCTTCCATCGTCTGTGAGTTGGTTCCTGCCTTGGCTTTCCTTGATGACTATGAGCTGTAAGTCAAATAAACCCTTTCCTCCCCAAGTTGATTATGGTCAGAGTGTATTGTCACAGCAATAGAAAGCTAACTAGGAAACCTTTTAATTACTTTACATAGTAGGAGTATACTTCAGAGTTTTACTGACAGAATAACTTTAAACTTTTTCTATGGGTCATACACAATCATAGCATATACTTACGATGAAAAATGAATTCTATATATTGAAATCTCTATCATTGAATCTATATAGTCAGACATATTTCAATATAGCAAAAGCTCTGTTGTTCTTAGGTTTAAGGCTAAGGAATCAGTATTAATGAATAAAATTATTGCATATGTTAAAAAGAATGCACTTTATTGGGTTTACTTTAGAGCAACAGAAAATAATTCTTGGCTGATGGTGGTATACCTCGTGGAAAAGCTTATCATCCATGAGGCCCTGTATCAAATTTTCTTTAAAAAAATTTTTAAATTATTTTTATTTTATGTGTATGAGTGTACTGCCTGCATGTATGTAAATGCACCTATGTCATGCAATGCCCATGGAAATCAGAAGAGGGTGTTAGATACCCTGGAACTGGATTTACAGATGGCTGTTAGTCGTGTGGGTGCTGGGAACCAAACCCAGGTCCTCTGCAAGAGCAGTCAGTATTCTTAACTGCTGAGTCCCCTGTATCAAATTACCACACAAACATTGCGAATGGCTCTTAAATGAGAACACTCAGAATGTATGCCTAGCATGTACATACAAAGAATGTAAGCTAATGAAGAGCAACATGTAAGAAACAAAAAACCTGATTAAGAAACCAGGAACCGTCCTTGAAAGCAACAGCCTTCTTTTGGGAAGAAGGCTTTGTATTTGCATTTTTTCCATGGTGCTTTTTGTACTCTTTTCCTTTCCCTTTTGTCCTCCTCCACATTGTTTCATGAGTGATTTTTATTACTTAGAAAGGGGGCGAGGAGCTGGAGAGATGGCTCAATGGTTAACAGCACTGGCTGCACTTCCAGAGGGTCAGCTCCCAGCACAGCACCCACATGGCAGCTAACAACCATCCATAACTCCAGTTCAAAGGGATCCAACACCCTTTTCTGGTCTCTGTGGGCACTGCATGCACATGGCACCCTTACATATATGCAAGCAAAATACTTCTACACATTTCTTAAAAGTACTGAATAAGAGACTGCAGAGTATGTATCCTTGGATAGGATTCCTATATTAAACCTCACCCACCCAGGGCTCAGGGACTGTTGCAGAAGATGGGGTGGAAAGATTGTAGGAGCCAAGAGTGGTGCATGACCACAAGGAAACAGTCTCATATGAATTTACTCATGAATTGCTCATATGAATTTACAATGGTAACACCATGCACAAGACCCATGCAAACTCAATTGGACAAAAACTCAGCATAGAACTGGAGAAATGAGCAGGAGGCCCCACCTTAGCTGAGGAACTATTGGCACCTGATCACTGCTGGGTGAGGGCAAGTTGGTCTTCTTTAAGGGAGTGATACTAGAAAGGTTGACCAGGCTCCAGTGGATGAACTTACACCGAAGGATGTCTGGGAATACAAACTTGCCTCAATAGGTCTTAACATATATGACAGGATGCATGAAATCCGGTGGGTGGGCTACGAAGGGGGATGCTGATGGGGTGGGGAATCTAAACATTATTAAGATGTATTATATGAAAGCCACAAAAATTCAACAAAATATATAAAAATAAAGTTTTTTTAAATTCAAAAAGGAAAAATATTGAAAGATGCAAACATGAATCCAGTGGTTTTTGGTTTGGGTTTTAAAAATTAATAAACTAATTTTTATTTTATGTGTAGGAGTGTTATGCCTGCAAGTGTGAGTACACCCATGTTGTACAATACCCACAAAGGACAGAAGAGGGTGTCAGATCCTCTGGAACTGGAATTACAGATGGTTGTTAGCTGCCAGGTGGGTGCTCAGGTCCTCTGGAACCTTTGCAATTGAATCCAGTCAGTGCTCTTAACTGCTGAGCTATCTCTGCAGTCCACCATGGTACTTTTTGTATTCCTCATTTTCTTCATCCACTCCTCCCCTCTCCTTGTCCTCATGCGTGTAAGTACATGTGGAGGCCAAAGGCTGACTCTGGGAATCATCCTTGATTGTTCTTCATATTATTCATTGAGACAAGGACTCCCCAACCTAGAGCTTGCCCATATAGCTAGTCTTGGTAGCCAGGTTGCTCTGGCGATATCCGGCCTCTGCCTTCTGAAGTTGTAATTACAAGTGGGATAACACAACTACCTGGCATTTACATAGCTTTCTGGGGACCCAAAATCCTGTACCTCATACTTGCATGGCAAGTGCTTAACCACTGAGCCATCTCTTCAACTTCTATTTTATTCTTTTATAAAAATTTTATTTATTATTTTTATTTTGTATGAGTGTATTGCCTGCATGTGTGTAAGTGCACTCATGTCATGCAATGTCCATGCAAGTCAGAAGAAGGCGCTGGATCCCTTGGAACTGGAGTTACAGATGGTTGTTAGCCACCAGGTAGCTGCTGGGAACCGAACCCAGGTCCTCTGAAAGAGCAGTCAGTGTTCTTAACTGCTGACTCATCTCTCCAGCCCCCAGTCTCTATTTTCATTAAGAAAAAAAGGAAAAATACTGAAAGATACACGGATGAATCCAATGATATGATAAGACAAGTGGGGGAGGGTACCAAATGTATGAAAATAACAAGAAAAACACAGAAATGCAATTCAAAAGATCAGTCTAAATCTAAGAACAGCAGTTGCAATAAAAAAAAAATCAAAAGAAATTTTTATTTATAGCAAAAGCCTGGGATATAAAATGAACAATTAAATAACAACTTTTAAAATTCCCTACCTGTGTCAATCCTGATGCTTTGAATAATTCCTGTGGTGATCTCGCTCCATAACTATTAGGACAATGAAGTGACAACAGTCTGCTATATACTTTGTTTCTAACCTATAAAAAAAAACTTTTATTTAGTTTAAAAAACTGGTCAAGACAAATAGCTTTAGCAAGATATTGAAGCGAGTTTTCTGTTTGTTTGGGGGTTTTTTTGAGACAGAGTGTCCTTGTAGCCACAGCTGGCCTGGAACTCACTATGTAGGCCAGGCTGGCCTTGATCTTAGAGAGATCTACCCGCCTCTGCCTCCCGAGGGCTGGGATTAAAGGCATATACCTCCACAGCCAGCTTTAAGTAGATTTTTAAAAAGGGTTTCAGAATTGTGAAGCTATCACCATTATTTAACTTTAGAGTATTTTCATTATCTCCCATACTTGTTAGCATTTACCCCCCAAACTGTCTCCTTCTTATTCCTTGGAAACCACAATCTAATATCTGTTGCTTGAACTCACCTATTTCAGGACATTTCATATAAACAGTGGATTATGCTTTTAATTTCTTACTTGGTCTTGTGGTTTGAATATGTTCTTCAAAAGTTTTTGAGTTAGAAAGTTAATCCTCAAATATACAAGTTTATCATTGGAGATAATATTAAGTAAGGTCAAGGCACCAGTGAGATGGCTCAGCAGTTAAAGATGCTTGCCACCAAACCTGATCACCTGACTTTGATCCCTAGGACCCATAAGGTGGAAAGTAAGAACTGACTCCAGTAAGTAATCCTCTGATTTCCACATGCACATTATGGCATGTGCACAAGCACAAATGCCTGCACATACAAAATAATTAAAAAAATTTTTTAAATCCTGTCTTGAACACAGAAAAATCATACTGACATTAGTACCCTTATAAGAAGAAGGGAGACACAGATACTACCATATATATATTACATGCTGTAACACAATTAGATATGCTCAGGCATCTATTGGTAGATACTCAATGTTCTGTCTATTTTACACACACACACACACACACACACACACACAGAGAGAGAGAGAGAGAGAAAAGAGAGAAACCACCTCAATTCTTAAAAATTCATGTACTGATTAGCTTCAAATATTTTTTTCTTTAATATTTTGTCTTAACAGGAGTATAGAACAGTTAGTTCAAAATTCCATTAGAGCTCACTAGTTAGGAAATTATTTCAAGCAAATACTCTGATTATCAGAAAACTACCACACCTCTTTTTTGAAATTGAGAAAGTAGTTGGACTGATCAACATGAAAAATCTCAAGGGCGGATCTCCTTAAGTTGTAGCGACGTAAGTGAATCTCTCGAATTTGAGAATGAGGCCACTTGAAATCAAAGCCTATTCCTGCAAACAGAAGAAACCTTGTGACTGAGGCACGATATAAACTTATGCTATGCAGAAAGTATCTCCTTGCTCCTAATAAAAGTAGCACTTAGGGAAAAGGAATTCTACATCGTAAAAAAATATGTATTAAGTCAGGTATGATGGTGCACACCTTTATTCCCAGCACTTAGGAGGCAGAGCCAGCTGGGCTACAGGGAGACCCTGTCTCAAAACAAACATACAAATAAAAATATATTAAGTTTACCAGGTGTTGCAAATTGTTTCTCTTAAAATTATTTTAGAATGCCATAGCTATTCTACTACCTTTCTATGAGGCCAGGTACTTCTGAATATTATCTTAGAAATACTTTTCTTTTTCTAAGATGTTCGCATTTCAGAGTTAATCATATAAAGGTAAAAGGTCTAAAGGATTTTGTGTTTGTGTATGTGTAGGTATAATAAATTTAAGATTCCATTTTGTAACTAAGTTTATCATGATCCCATCTAATTAAGCCTCTTAAAATAAACTGCTCCTGCTGCTGTTACTTCTAATAAGAATGAAGCAACTGGATACAGTGGCACATGCCTGTCATCCTAGGTACTCAGGAGAATGTGGAAGGAGGATTGTACATATGAAGTCAGTATGGGTAACTTACTAAAATACTGCTTACTGACACTGAAGTTTTCAATTTACAAGATGCAAATTCACAGTCCCATCTTACTTGTTTCTTCCCCTCATTCATGACTGGTTGAACTGGATACTTAAGAACTGAAAGGTCATTATTTTCTAAGAACTCCTTACCATCTTCTTTTTCAATGCTGCTGTCATGGAAGTAAATGTGTTGAGTAGTTATTTCTAATCTGCCAGGAATTATGTCAATTATTGTAATGAGTTCACAGTCTTCTGACAACACCAATTTTTCCTTTTGATCCTGTTCTTCTTTCTCATTGCTGTACAAACAAAAAGTTTAAAAGAAGCACTCATCAACTTAGCCTGTTTATACAGAAATGAGTATCAAATATAAACACAAACCTCATGTCTATAAAAGTAGTTTACAAAAAGGAGTATCTGAATAATTTATAAGTATCTACTGCATATTTAATTACTTAAATACTGGTCAAATATTTTTATTACCCAATGATTCAGTTTTCTGAAAAACTACGTATTATTTAATTTTATATAACTAATTAAAACAAAGCACAGTAACTATAACAACTAGCTGATGAAGAGTATAAAAGCAATTGGTCTTATTTTTTTTTTTCTCTCTATTCCGAGAGACAGGAACTGACCCCAGTGGTACTGTGCCTCAGTACCTAGAATCTAATTATGATTTTTAAACCCTAAAATTAGACTTTGCAAGAGTAACTAAATGAGATCATTACCACTACATCATTCTTGTGACAATGAAACTGGAGATCATACAAAGGGCTAGCATAGCTGTATCTTCTCTTGTCTACAATGAAGTTTACTTTGCATGGGCAAGAATGTTCCCATTTGCATACCTCAACATAATTAAAGCCATATACAACAAACCAACAGCCAACATCATTCTAAATGGAGAAAAACTAGAAAGATTCCCATTAAAATCAGGAACCAGACAAGGCAGTCCACTATCTCCACTCCTATTTAACATAGTGCCTGAAACTCTTGCAAGAGTGATAAGACAAGAGAAAGAAATTAAAGGAGTAATAATTGGAAAAGAAGAATTCAGTTTATCCCTTTTTGCAGATATATCTGAGACACCAAAAATTCCACCAGAAAACACCTAGAAATGATTAGCATGCTCAGCAAAGTGGCAGGTTACAAAATTGATCTACAAAAGTCTGTAGCCTTTCTATATACCAATAACAAGCAATCAGAGAAAGAGTACATGGAAACATTCCCTTTCACAATAGCATCAAAAAAAAAAAATCTCGGAATAAATTTTACCAAAAACATTAAAGACCTCTACAATGAAATTTTTAAATCTTTAAAGAAAGAGATTTTTTTTTTT